AATAAAAATCCCCGGGGGGAGCCAGCAGCTGGCGTAATGGCTACGTGGCTGGACTCCCACATAGTTGACCACGGCCCGAGTCCTGGACCCGGTGGCTTAAACTCACGCTGGGCACATGTGTGTGCGTGCCCAAGATCCAGGGAGGAGAATAGAGGAGAAGGGACTGCGGCGTGACCATCTCTCCAGGGGGTGATTCCTCGCTTTCTGTCTCTCTGTCTCTCTTGTCTTTCTGGCAAGCGAACACACCCTACAGCAAAAACCTCTCAAAAAATAAAAATAAAAAAAGGACATATTTGTAAAAGGTAAGACTCACAAAGGCTGAAAGTACAAAAGAACATGAGGCAGGCTCCAGGGCCTGGGGTCAAGGCAACCAGATAGCCCGTGGTTGATGCCACATTTCGAGTCCCGGACTCGGCCGCTTGAGAAACATGTCAGGTGCATGCGCACGCGTGCCGCAAATCTCGATGGGCTGGGAAGATGGAGTAGATAGAGGGGATTGAGGCGTAACCATTCCTCACGGAGGGTGCTTTCTCCCTCCCCCTCTCCCTCTCTGTCTGTCCGTCTGTCTCTGGTGAGCATGGGCCCTGTGGCAAAATTTTTCAAAAGAACAAGAAAGGAAAGGTGTGGGCTGTCAGGAACCCTGAGTATCGACGTGGATCTGTGTGACCTGGAGGCTCTGCCCCCGTCTATTTCCGGACATTCCTTCCCCGCTCTGTAGACAGGGGGACATCTTGAGGGCCCGCGGCAGGGCCCACGGCAGCAAGACTGTGGACGCACACACGGAGAACGTAGCCACGGCTGCCCAGCCCGCGTGCACGCAGCACCTGCAAAGGTCTTCCAACACCACACTGTAATCCTAAAAAAGCACCCACGAGGAACTAGCAGGTGGCATGGTGGTTAAGGTGCCGGACTACCACATGGCCAACCAAGTTCAAGTCCCAGACCTGGTGTCTTGCTTTCTTATCTTCCCTTTCTCTCTGTCTCTCTTTGGTCAAAGAAAAAGATAATAATAACAACAAATAATGTTTTAAAGATTATTCATTTATTTAATTCCATTTGTTGTTATTTTTTTTAGAGGTTTTTGCTATAGGGCGCGTGCATTTGCGAGAAAGACAGAGAGAGACAGAGAGACAGAAAGCGAGAAATCACCCCCCAAGGGGATGGCCATGCAATCCTTTCTCCTTCATTCTCCTCTCGGGATCTTAGGCACACGCGCCCGGCGTGAGTTTAAGCCACTGGGTCCAGGACTCAAACCGCGGTCGACTACATGGGAGTCCAGCGACATAGCCATTACGCTAACTGCTGGTCCCATTATTATTATTTTTAACTTGACCAGAGAGTGAGAGAAAGCGAAACAAGAAAGCAAGCTACCAGGTCCAGGACTCGAACTCTGGTCAGCCATGTGGGACTCCAATGTATTCAACCACGCCACCTGCTGGCCCAATTTTTTTTTTAAAAAAGTACCCGGAAACAAGGCAGACTTTCCAAGAACCAATGGAAAGGACTGACACGCTCTGCAGACTGGTTACCTGGGGGTGTGTGGGAAGGTCAGGGGAGACTAAAGCAAACGCACATGGTGGGGGCTGGCCAGCCCAGAGCCGGGCCTCACCTGCCCGGAGCTGCGCATTGGGCCCACACCGCCCCCATGCATGGCCAAACCTAAGGGAACAGCGTGGAAACGGAGACACGCCAGGGCTGGACCCTCAGCCCCAGCCCACGAGAGTCTACACCAAGACGCAGGGTAAACTCGGGGGCCACCCAGGCCCAGGGCACTCAGGGCCGAGAGGGTACCTGCATCAATGACACCCGCAAGTGGTGCCCGCCCTGAGGACACGTGAGTACAAGCCCGCACCCTGGGATGAGCCACAAGGCTTGAGGCCGAGGACCTGAAAAACCTGCTCGGCCCCTGGCGAGGTGAGCCGGAGCCCTCAAGGGTGGAGGTGAGAGAGGCAGGTCTGGGGAGTCCACTCTAGGACAGGGGGCTCCCCAAACCTGGCCCAGTGCTCTTTC